TTTATTCCACTTCACCAAGGATTGCACAAAACCACTTGTACACACTTTCAAGTTGAGAGAAAGTTTAGATACTCATTAAAAAAATTTTTTTGAACACTCCGCCGAGAAAAGAACCATATAGACCAATGAAAACTATTTGAAATGTAGTTACCTAAGTGTGTCTCCTTTTATAGTCGGTTCTTTGATGAAACTGAATAATCGCAAAATCACACTGTTAAGTGAATTATTTTTAATTAATCAGCTACCTTGGCTCATTGCGATGTACTTAGGAACATTAATGAAATTAATAGCATTTGATTATTAGACGAATGGAAAAAAAGAGCACATGTCGCGTTGGCCTCTGTTAATTAAATGCAACAGAGTTCACGATCAAATTTTCGGTTTAAACTTTCACAAAAAAATACCCTAGTAAACATTTAATCCAAAGAACGCACTTATGCAGTAATCTGACGATCAACTACACATTAGGTACTGATAACGCGTATTCGGGTAGAAACACTGATAACCGAAATCTTGCACCACTTTCCAAAACACTTTCGAGGCATAATAAAGAAGAAAACACCTTATCCTTGACGGCTAATCGCATAGCGAATTACGGAGCACAGGTAAAATTGAGTCACATTGGCATTGAAGTCACCTGCCGAAATCTTCCTTCGACATGGTTGTTTGCTTTGAGTGCCGGAAGGTAGCAGCACTCACAATGTGAAAACCTGGTATGACGAGGAGCTGGTGAGCTCTGCTAGCGGTCGGCTAGCCGTGCCGCAACAACGCGCTGATGACCACTGATAAATAGGTACTGAAGCCTCCTCCAGAAAAAGTCAGACAGAAGCTAAATGCAGCCTCTCCTATAATCCATGAAAAAAAATCAAAATCAAACAATCGAACAAGCATAATTTGTTAGCGAGATAGTTAAGTTTTCCAGTCAGGGCCGGATTTACCTACTTGCCGCCCATGGGCCGCCTATATTTTGCCGCCTCCTTCTCATTCGTTTTGAAACATCAATAAAAACCATCAAGTGAACGTGCCGGAGGGGAAGGGGTGCATATATTAAGACGCGTTTACCTACTCGTGGTGGATACATTTTTTGCGGAAGCCCTTTCAACACTACTAGCAAAATTTCACGGAACTTTGCGAAGTTAAGTTCCGTAAACTTATCTCTATTTGGACAAGATCCTCCATTTATAAGAAATGAACCAAAAAATTATGAAAGAACAAACATAAATATGGTTTAATAATTTTAACTTCCGCCGATGCGCCGCGCTGATCACACTGTGTTTGGCGCAGTGCGTGAAGTATTCCTGCAGTCTTGTAGGCGCTATGCGTTTCACGCCTACCGCTCCTGACTGCACTGTGTTTGGCGCAACGGGTAAAGTATTCATTGAGTCTTGTAGGCGCTAATATGTGTTACATGCCGACCGTCGCACCGAGGGTTTATCCTTTTCATCTCAAGTCCTCGTCATCATCCCTCTCTGCGTTGAGCTCCAGGCCAAATTGCGTGCTTTAGTTCCTCTCTTGACTCGATTAATTAAAGATGCTGTCTCTTGTATCATTGAAAAACGACAAAATTAGAAATTTCTATACTCTCAGGAAAGAGAGATTTTGTCCCCTTTTCTCATTGATAATTTTTTTTTCTGAATCCGATTTTTTTATACCTACATTTAAAAAAATTGCAAAATTTGCCACCATATAGGCCGCGGCCCATGTGGCCACCTCCTTAATCTGGCCCTGTTTCTAGTAGCGTTTTTTTGCTGGATATTTTAGTGTAGAAGGTAACATAGATAAAAATGGCCTGGAGATTGCTAAAATTGCTATTTTGCCTTAAATTTTCAAGGTAGGCCACTACGCATCCTCCAAGCCTTCATAGTCCTTAATTCCAAGGTTTGTGTTTTGCACTGCCCAAAAATAATGTTCACTGGGAATTTTGTCATGCTTTAACCTGACGGCGTTGATGCTACCTATCGCTCTGTTTCTCTATTGAATTGAGGTTCCTATGTTTGATACTCGATTTATTGCCCTCACCAGTGACATAAAAAACGAAATAACACAAATCTTTTAATTCATGACTTTCGCATTAGGAACCTGTCAGATTGCGCTCCATATATCTCAACATTTTGTGAGAATTTAAACATTGCTTCTTCGTTTTTCTATTTAAAAAAATAAGAGTATAACGACAGCGTGAGTCGGCAATCACATAACTCGGTTTGCGACGTCGCAGACTTCCTGTCACACTTTATTTTTTAAACGGAAAACTATACTCAACGGCAATTCTTTAAAACTGCCGTGATCTTTCTTAGAAAATTCTAAAAAAACTGCAAGGTTGCCTGCAGCATTAAACTGCATCGATTTTTTCTCCTTTAAAAAAATAACATAGAGGCGGAGATTTTCAGACAATGCAAACGAGATTTGTGATTGCGGACTTACGCCGTCGATAAGTGAAAACAATGGCGTAGATTTTGCAAAGTAACAGCAGAGATTCCTGGCCCCTCCCCATTAAAAAGTTAAACTATCTGACTTTAATAAAACTGAAACTAATTAAAGAACAAATAAAGTGGAAAGTCGAAATACTTGCACGTGGTCGAGGCAAGTTTCCAATCGCGACGACGCGATGCTCTTGATGAAGATCCCTCGATTGAAAATCGTGCAAGATACACTCAAAGTTTCTTCATTCCATCAGACACTCAATTTGGGTTCTGGACAGTTGAAAAATTCGCTCAAGGTCGATGCAATTTTCAACAGCAATGCACATCGCAAGCCCTGTCAACATTAACAAAAGTTCACGGAACTTCACGCGAAAGTTAAGTTCCGTAAACCCACCCCTGTTTGGACAAGGCCTTCCATTTATAACAAACGAACGAAAAAATAATGAAAGAACAAACATAAATGTGATTTAATAACTTTAACTTCCGCTGCCGCTGCGCCGACCACACCGTGTTTGGCGCAATGCGTGAAGTATTCATGCAGTCTTGTAGGCGATATGCGTTTCGAGCCGACTGCTGCTGACTGCAGTGTGTTTGACGCAATGCGTGAAGTATTCATGCAGTCTTGTAGGCGCTATGCGTTTCGAGCCGACTGCTGCTGACTGCAGTGTGTTTGACGCAATGCGTGAAGTATTCATGCAGTCTTGTAGGCGCTATGCGTTTCATGCCGGTCACCGCACCGAGGGCTCCTCCTTTTCATCTCAGTCCTCGTCATCATTGCTCTCTGCGCCGCTCCGCTCAGGGTCAAAGTGCGTGTTTGGTTTCTCTCTTAACTCGACTAATAAAAGATGTTGTCTCTTGTATCACCGAAAGACGACAAAATTAGAAATTACTACACTTTTACTCTCAGGAAAGGAGGGATTTTGTTGCCTTTTCTCGTTGGTAATTTATTTTCTGAATCCGATTTTTCTCTTTTTTTTATACCTACATTCAAAAAGATTGCACAATTTGCCACCATGGGCCACGGCCCATGTGGCCATGCCCTTAATCCGGCCCTGTCTGTTCTCAATGAAGGCGTTTCTTATGTGCCGTCACTCTACATCAAATAATTGTATAAAGCAACTGCATTGCCTACTCGCTAATCTACGTGCTACTTCACTGTTATTTGGTTTCTAAACTAAGCAACTCTTCGGCTTTCGGCCTCTGAGGTACGTGAGTCTCCGAAAATGCCTCTTTTCACGAACGAGAGCGCCTTCTTTTCGAAGAGAGACGCCACGCCACCAAAAAGCGCTCTCTTATTTAAAAAGTAAGCACCAAGGAGTGATTTCCTATCCAAAAAAACGCTTCTTGCCCCCATACCAATGCCTTTACTTACATCTTCGTGCTCATTTTCCTTCACGCCAATTCTAAAATTGCATTTTAGTGTTATTTATATAACTATTAAAAATAAGCATGAAAGTTTGAGCTTTTTCGACTAATCATAAACTTATCGGTGTTTTATATTTTATTTTTGGTGTCTGGAGAGGATTAATTGGAACTTCTTTTAGTATAATTATCCGTTCTGAACTTATAAATTTTGGATCTTTTTTATCAAATGAACATTTATATAATGTTGCTGTAACTTCTCATGCTTTTATTATGAATTTTTTTTATCCTCCTTTTTCTCCTTTCCCCCTAATTTACTTTCTTTTTTTTCCCTCCTCCTATTTTTTCTAGAAAGCTTGCAACATTGTTGCAGAAGTAAATCGAATGAACTGCTTCTGATTGGAACTGCAATCCTCAATCTTCCACTGCCATATGCAACTTTTTGGCCAAACAAAGAGGCCAGTAATCAAACAAGCTATTTCTTCGACTATTTTATTTAATTAATTATATTGATTCAAAAAGTAATTAAAAACGCATTAACTGCAGCCGGGGTTGCAATTTTTCATGAAAAATAAAATCTTGAAACTTCATCCGAAATATTTCATGAAATTTCAGAATAAGAAAAATACTGAAAAATGTTTTTCGGAATTAAATGAAAGGCGACTGGTTTTTGCTCTTTTGTGTTTTTAGTTTGTGATGCATACCCAGTCCCTGAAAATATTTTCATATTTCTCACGACTTCGTGAAGTTTCATGAAATATTTCACGGAAATTTTCAATATTTCATATTTTTCATTTCGCCTGTGCAGCCCTGACTACAGCTAATCTATGGCAATAGTAAGAATTACTCCTGTCTGCAAAACGAAACCATGGGTGAATTTTGATTATCAAATATGATAATTTTTTAATCAAGCTTAAAAAGTTCAGAGCAAGGAAAACCCAATCTAATTGTTCTTCGTGTAAATCAAGAATGAATACAAAGTGTAATGAGTGGGGCCCTTGAGTAAACAAAAATGGGAAGAACGTTGGATAGCCCTTTTAGTACGCCAGTACAGAGACGCTGGTTTAGAGCCGGGACATGACAACTTGAGCACCTCTAAAAATCATACTTAAAGTAGAAAAGTATTGTAGAGTAATAACTGGAAATTTCTACACCTGTTTTGGACAAGGGAGAAAACGCTAGTGAAGGAGTGAATCTGTTAAAAAATACAAAGAGATCTAAAAACATGAAAAGTTTATTAATTTAATACCTATAATGATCTCGTTCTAAAATTTGCAATAGATATTGTAACATGAAAAATGCAAACAACATAAAATGACAAAATATCTGATGCCAGAATATTAATATGGACAACGATAGCTAAAGCAAGCTTCTAGAATATATTTTATTTTTTTTTTTTTTCAAAAAAAAAAGTAGAAAAAAAGAAAGGGGAGGAGGAGGAGCGCAAAATAAACAGCTTGACTTCTGAAGAATGCTTCCTGCATTCACAAAACTATAGTCAAAGACATTAAAATGGCACATATCAGATATACTTTAAGTCAAAATAATTTTTGTATTGAATACAAGCAGAATTGCAGAACATAAAAAAGAAAAAAAAATTACTTCTTGGAAATTCAATAATGCATTATTTTTGAGTATTAAAAAGTTATTGTTGGAGAACACTGGCCTGTCTTGATAAAGAGCCACAGTCTCTGCTTTACTTAACCTAAAAGACATCAAGTGACTACAAAAATGAGACATTAACACATAAACTTTCAGACTCATCCGAGGTGAGATTCGAGACAGAGGTGAAAACTCACATTTTCCCTATCGGATTTCTGTACACAAAATTTTACAGATCAATAAAAAATAAAAAAAGCATGATTATCATTAATGCTCTGATAAGAAAATCACATACAAATAGTACAATTATTAGTGCATGGGTTGATTAAATTTAATTCATAAAATATTCATTGGAGGTTAGAGGTGAATCACTGATTTGCAAACCGAATTCGAGGGTTTAATAGCAGATCAAAAAGAAAGAAGTTCGATTTAAAATTGATCAATGAGATTAAGAGGTTAATATACCTACTTTAAAAACAAAGGCTGATGATAATATTTAGTAGATATCTTTGAAAAATTTAAGGAAAAATTTCAATTTAAAAAAATAATTGATGTTTAAGTCTAATTTGACGGCTGATCTTGGACTAATTAATTTTCAAAATAAACGAATTAAATGAAAAGTGAAAAAATCGGCAAAATGTGTTAAATCTCGAGAAAAAATATTTGACAGAAATTAGCTGCAAAAACTTAAAAAGAAAAAAAAAATTCTTCATCAGAGCTGAAGTTTTCCTTAAGCTGGCAAGCAGTTGCTAAAAATGCAAAAAAGGGTTGGAAGGATATGAGAACCATGATTAAATAGGAAAACAGGTTTTGATAAAATATACTAGAATTTGAGGGCAAAAGTTTTCAACGGCAAGTATTGAAAAAAAAAAGAAATATTAATGATAAAATAATGTATCTCATATAGTTCCACGATGGTAAATTATTTACCATGAATGCATTCAAGTATTATTTCACTGTAGAGAGAGACTTCAGACTATGTTGAGAATGTACAAAGATTTTTCCATTCCTCTGGGTGAACAATGAACCAATAGACTTGCATTATTTTCCTCTTGAAAAAATGGGGAGAAAAATGTAATTATCTGTTTGGAAGGCAGTTTCAAAATGAGAAAGTCAGCAATTCCCACCAGACAATAAATCTGAATTTAAATTTGTGCTAGACAATATTAACAATTTTCTTTTGCTCAAACAGCAACTCTACCTTGAAAAAATGCAAGGAAGGATTTTAAACTACCAGCTGGGAATGCTGTAGTGCCCTTGATGGATTTCAATTCTGATTTTATTATCTTCCCTTAACTGATTAAGACTCAAGTAAATATTATGAGAGTTTTTAGGTGGTATACTGCAATATTCCAGTAGGAAGATCAGACAAAATGTGTTAAAAAAAAGACAGAATCATGATAGAGAGAGAACCAAAGTGGAATTGAGAAATTCTTTTTTTAACAGAATAGAAGAATAAAAAATAAAATCCAAAACACAGTTTTGGATCGTGGTGCAATAAAACTGCCTTCCTATAAACAAAAAAAATTGAAAAGAAAATATGTGAGCAATAAATTAAAGCAAAAAAAAAAAAAAAAAACAAACAAAAAAGATGTTTTCAACTCGTCACAGACGCTTGAAAACAGTTAAAATAATAAAACTAAAAATAAAAATAGATGAGCAAAGTAAATAATTTGAACTTAAAGTTTGCTTCGATAAATTGAACGGTAAGTTCATGACTTTTAAAATCCTAAAAGGTTATAATATGTTGATAATTAACATACATAATTTTATTTTTTCCTGTTCACACTGTCTGGTAGGGCTAGTCATTGATATGACTACCTAAGAAAAGAAAAATATCTAACACGATTGAAAGAGAAGAAGAAACAAGTTAAATTCATAAAATAAAACTATTAAAAGCGTAGACAATCTGAGAATCCAGCAAATAACAAGGATACTAGAAATTACACATAACAAAAATATTTTTACAATTCGTCAAAGTTTCAAGGAGAAATCAAATCAAATAAATTAGTGAAAATAAATAAATTACAAAAAAAAAATAAATAAATAAAATAAAATGAGAAAGAAACAACGAAACTTTGAGGAAGAGGGAAAAGTTAAAATTCATGCAATTCTACTCTGTCCATAAAATATATTCTTCGCCTGTCTAAGGATCAAAGGAGAATGAAAAATATCTAAAGGAATTTAATCAATAGATCAAATTTGGTTTGCAGCACGGATTATACCGTCAAATATGGCACTAATACTTAAAAGGCTGCTGCATAAATATGGACATGTGACTGATAACCCCCCAAAACTAATTGATAAAAATCTTCATCACAATGGGCTAAAATAGGTATTTGAAGCAATAAAAATAAAAGAACATTGTGGGGAGACAAAATTGGAATGGTATAAAGAGATCAGTTTTTCACACCATGACAAAAGCTTCTTTACCACAAAAGAGGAATGGGTACTGATCGATCATGGTTTGTACAATGTCTTCTAGGTGAGGCCTCATTTGTTCGAACCGAGCCATATCGCTGAATTCGATTGGTAGTAGAGTCGGCCACCAGCAAATTGCCAGATTTTTAGAGTCCATACTGTTCAACTTGCAGTTTTCTGATATCCTGCAATTAAAAGCAAATCAAACCGATTATTCAAACTGCAATGGTATTTTGATCAAATTTTTGAAAAGTAAAACAAGCAAGCGAATGGTCTAAGATACTTATTTGTGTGAATTCATAGTAAAAAAAAAAAAAAAAAAAAAAGTTAAATGAATTGTTCCAAGTAAATGGGTCAATTATGCCTGTCACAGAATAGTGTTTTAAAGACTTCATACATTATTAATCAGCAAAAAACAAAAAAATTTGTTCAAACACCGAGTTTCCACGTCCAATGTTAATCAGCCTCTTAAAAAGCACAACAAACAGATCTCATCCTCCAAGATGGCGCATGTCATGATTTCTTCCACCTTCATTTCATTCGCGTTTTAGAAGTCGAGCAACCAAAGCAAATGTGTGTATCACTAGATAGTTGATCCAAGATGGAAGAGACCCTGGTTTGAACAACCGCAGAGGATGTTGTTATACACAGAGTTTCTTAGGGCGAATTTGGCAAGAGGATTAGGAAAGTTTTTGGCTTACAGCAAACCTTTGTAATAACAAAACAAAGTTCCCTCAGGGCGATGGTGCGACTACAACCTGTTTTCAAGTTGATAGCAATAACAACTGCATCTAAAATTTTCAACCCACCTTCCATATTTGTTTGGGGAATGGATGGATGCAAACGTCGGTCACAGGTCATCAAACCACAGAGTTTAGTTCTTGACTGTTGCCAAGAGTTTTTCTTGGTGTTAGTCAAATTGCTGTTCAACCTCAATTCAAGAATGATTTTCGCCGGTCCTCTAAAAGTCGTCATATTGGGGTTCTACAGTAAATTGACAGTGTCAGAATCATTCAGCAATTCGCTGGTTCATGATGAAAAATTGTTGGTGTCTAAACAACGAGGTCAGTTACAATAAACCATTTTTACCAAATCTAAGCATTAGTCGATAAAAAATTAAAAAATAAAGAGTTGAGTGAAAAAATAATAACAGAACGAAAAAGCTTAAAAGGAAATGTAGAGGGAGCTATTCATGAGAAACTTTGGTGACAGACTTACCTAACAAAATGGTGAAACACAAACTTGAGAATTTCAAAATTTACAGTTGGTAACTTCTTCAATAAACCTCTAAGAGCTAATAAACGGCAACTCCGGTCAGCTTTGACTGAAAGATACAAATTTCAGGTTGTAAAAGAAGTACACAAACAATTTGAAACAAACTTTGATTAGTAGAGAAATAATTATTGAAAAAAGTAAGGATACAGTGCGATATTAAGATATGGCTTGATGGTTGAATAGAATGAAGAAAATTTGTGTGTGTTACAGTACAGTACAGCACCACACTTTATCATTTGAAGGAATTTTGTTATGTTTGTCTGTTTTGTCTTCTTGACCTGCGAGGAAATAAAAACTCTCTTTTATCACCAATGAGATGTTGCAACATTTCGTCGCTGGGCTGACATAAGGGCGTAACTACACATTGAGATGAGCCTGGAAAAGCATTGAATTGTATGGAGGACAAGGCTCATTGCAGATTGTAGTTGCGCTCTTATGTCAGGTAGGCAACGATTTGTGCCATTGCATTTGAAAATACCAAAAAATGTACTTCAGCCCTGCTTTTCTATAGATTGGCACACAGGGAGTTCGATTTTGAGAGCCAACTGTACTCAGAAAACTGCAAGGAGCAACAAATCAAATAATTATTTGGCCAATGCCGCATTTTTTGGTATTCCGTGGGTAGTTCTTTTAATGAGGTAACTTATTTAACGGTGCTTCAGTTCTTAGCCTGCCAATATTTCAATTTTTTAATGGTTTTCCGAGCATAGTAAATTCTACAAAAAATGAAAACTTCAAGAGAAAATCTTGCAACTTACTAGATAAGTCTTCTAATTCTACCATGGTGTCTTCTGGGAAAAGAGGGGGGAGCCGTTTTGAGAAAAAATCTTTTAGAGCTGTAGCGACAGCATTCACTGGAATGTCTAGTGTGTTGATATCAACGTTACTATCTGTGGAGAAAAATACAAAACATGATGGATTTATTTGGTGTAATGAATGGATAGAGGATTATTAAACATTGATGAAAAGCTCATTTAACTACGTTGATCGCCAACTGCCATTACAGAACTGAGTTTTAAGGATTAGGGTTTTTAATCAAGAGGCTGACTAACGATCAAGTTTCAATACTGATAATTTTATCAGATGCAGCAGGGAATTTTTTTTAACATACTACATGCGCTTTCCTTTGTAATTTGGGCTGCTGAATCAAAAAATGAGGTTTGTCTCTAATATGTACCAATTTCTCCTATAAAATCGAATTTTTCCTTGGGAAGTCTGTTATTGGGATGGAAATCCTGATTTTTTGGAAAATTTGAGGGCGTTGAGAAAAAACTGAGGACATTTTCTGACTTAACCCTAAAATTTCAATGAGAATTCTCCATTGAATTGCAAGCATTTTCAAAAAAAACTTCTGACTTGTGATATTTTAATATTAATGAATGATCTTGGTAAAGTGCAATTTGAGAGGGTGATACGGTCAAAGTAGGTGAGAGGGTTTTGCAAGAAATCTTACCTTCTTCAAATTTATGAAAAAGTAATTCCACATGTGCCCTATTACCAGGTACACGGTAAATGCCTTCGGAGTCTAGTCCCTCTTCTTCAATGAACCTGACACACTTTTCTAATATGACAGGTACAGCATTATTCTCCGACTGAACAAAGTGCTCCAAAGATGGTTGCATGGTGAGAGACCCACTCCCACTCTTTAGTTTTGTTTTCTGCTTTTTCTTGGTTTCCCGCTCTTCAGCTAGCTTCTTTAGTTTTTCTTCCTTTATTCGTCGCTTCTCCAGTTCCTTTTCTTCTTTTGCTTTCTGCTTTTCTTTTCTTCTTAAGGTTTTATCACCGTCTTTCTGCTTGCCGCCAATTCCAAACTATAAATTATAGAAAATTATTTTCATGAGATACGAGAGAGTCTCTTGTCAGATTTCATGAAAATATTTGAAATTTAAATTAAGTACAAAAATGCATTCTACATGAAGTGTTTGAAATTATATCATGAGTTGATTAAAGGAAAAAAATCGGATGTTATGGTCCGTTTTTCATACTTCAAATTCCGGATTTTGCTGATCAGGATGTACCAACCTACGTCACAGGGTGCACAATCCTCAAGATGCAAACACCTCTTTTTTTTCTCTAAGATCTAAAAAGAGGAATTTTTATCTGTTCATCAGCCATCCCCATGGTGTGCAGTGTGCGCACCAGTTTGGCGATGACCAAGTTGTTTCTACGTTTAGTATTCCTTTTTTTGGGAGGTTTTCATCTTGGTACTTATTGTTGATAGATGACCATGCGATTAAGAGTGAATGCAACGATATCAGAACAGAACATAATCAAATTATTGTTTGCTGCCTTACCAATGGTGAATTTAGATCTCTAGGTGACGACGGGTCTAGACTTGAATCCTCATCATGAATAGCTCCATATATCCTTTCAAGTCTATGTTTGGCTGAAAAAGATAAATTTTTGATTTGAGAAAAAATTTTAATAAAAAAGAATTAGAAAACAAGATGCTACTTCTTGATTAAGATAAGCCTATATCTACTCTTGTTATGCCATCGTAGTTTTAAAAATCGAGCTGATGGCCATTCAATACCTATGTGGCGGCTAGCCACCACTCCGCCAACCAGCGCAGCTCATTGGCTGGAGATCGACACTGTCACGGCTATACCTAGCCGCCAGCTCATCACCCCTGACACTCCGCGCCCGTCAGTCACACGGGCCTCACGTCACACAGCACCCAGCAGCATCATGCAGCCAGCCGACTCGCCCTTTTCCAACAGCCCTTCTTAGGGCCACCACACCTCGAGCACCTCTCATGGCTTAGTCCATACCTACTTGGCCTACAATGGCCTCTGTGGCCTACTTCCATTCAATATTTTAATCTTCTTTCCTTTCTCCTGAACAATAATTTACTTTTATTACAACCAAATACTCCTCCTAGCCCCCATTCTTTGAATAATTTTGACTGATTTCACGATCATCTTGATAGAGACAGTTGTAAATAGAGGCTCTTTAACAGCTGTTTTTTGCTTTCCATCCACAGAATTTGTTATGAGAGCTGATTACTCTGAATTCCAAAATTCAGGGATAACTAAAGTTACTACTTCTTACCAAACAAAATGTGCAACTGGGGCTGACACTCAAGAAAGCAGTCCTGAGGGGATACAATGGAATCTTCACTTCTAGTGGTTGACACATAGATAAAACTAACTTAGATATTATCTTCTTCCTTTTTCACTTTTCCTCCGTTTTTAATCAGTATTGATTTTACATAAAAAAATAATACCAAAGCATTTTGTCTAACCTTTCTCATGACTTTCTACCGAGTTTTCTTTGGGGTAAGAGAAACTATGCTGAGCTGGGAAGGCAAAATCCATAGGACCAGGTCCGTTGGTTGGAGGGGCACTGAAGGGAGGAACTTTAGGGGTTGCAACTGGAATGGCCGTCCTCTTCTTCCGAGTCCGCTTGTGCATTGTAGATTTTCGATTTGTTTTTGAGTCTCCTGGACAAAGTCGATGTCTACTCTCTGGGGAACTTCGATCACTATCGGAGTCAGAATATGCTGAAATGAAAAAAAAGAAGAATCCAGTCAAGTCAAAGGTGAAATTTGAGAATGCTAAAGTTTAGGTACATCTCTCTGCCATAATAGATTCCTGTGGTGGTTAGGCGTTGCGTCGCAGAGCGCCTTAGTGCACTGTAAAAGCGACTAATACATAAGTATCTCTGAATTTCTGCTTGTCTTTTTTAACTTTGCCACCCGTCTTTCAAAGCATATTACAAAATACTACAAGACAAGATGAGTTTACTACTCAGAATCTTTTTTTACGTCCATATTTTTCTACTGCAAATTAGAGCATAAAGTTTATATAAATTGTCAATCGTAGATTTTTCTTCTATACTTACAGCATTTAGAAATGGGCACTTAGGAACAAAATTGTCAACTGTAACCTATGTATATCAATTCTTGGCAGGACCTCAGTACGTGAGAAGTAAGGATGTTGGATGTTATCTTGATTATGAAAGGAACAAAAACCTATTAAGAGTTTCATTGAATGTTGAAGGGTAATATCTGAAATATTCGTAATGAATCCATAACAACTTATCTTCTTTTTTTTTAAAAGAAAAGGCACTTATCTGTCATCTTCAAAACGACTATTCTAGGATTCTAAAGCGCTTGGTATCAGCTAAACAATTAAAAAAAAGAAAAGAAAAAAAAACTTGAAATTAGAATAACTTACGCTGTCTACCTTTTTCCCGCCTTTGACGTAGCTTCAATTTGTTGGTGCCAGAAATCATATCTTGAACATGAGAATATGAGTACTCTCCATCATAGCAAATACCCGCCAAGGAGTCTTTAACCTAAAAAAGAGGAGATAAAAACACTGATTACATGTGATTTAAAAATTATGGAACTAAAAAGGAATGATGTTAAAGTTGTTGAGTAGACACATCAGGCAGGGTTTTTTAATCCATCTTAAAAAATTGAATCAAAAGAAAGATAATTGAAAACAATTAAAAAAAAGTAAAAGGAGAATATATAAATCCAGAGGTAGTTATTTAACTCATGCTTTATCTTTAGACATGCAATTAAAATGAAGTAAAAATAAATGTGTCACTTTGTGTTGATAAAACCGTTGAAATTTTCAAAGTAAAAATATGAACAATAAAAAATATTAAGGACTGTTGGGTACAGTTATGTATTCTCAAGTAATTTGTACTTTTACTTTTCCCAAAAGGCAGATACATAGAAGGACCAATTAATAACTTATTAGTGAAAGAAAATGTGAAAAACATAAAAAGGTGGGCAAAGAATCGCTACCAAAATATGTACACAAATAATAAATAAATAATTTGAGACGTTTCTGTTAATGTTACTACAAATACATTATGCGATTACATAACATAACAGCTTCAAAAACGGCATTTACTGCAAACTAGACGTAATTAAAGAAAAAAGAAGATAAAAACTGAAAGAGAAAAAAGAGAAAAAACGTTGAAACTCAATCAGTAGGTAATCAAGCCCGTATTCTTTCAGGAATTTTTCTTTACTGTTGGATAAATAGTTCACTTGATCAAAAGTATGGGACGAAACTTTTTTTAACGAATTTTAATGTTTAAGAGTGCATGTGATGAGAGCTTGAAAAGGTCGAAGTCAGAATAAATCGATATCTGATCTTCTGATTATTGACAGTTGACAGGGAAAATTAATTTTGTACATACTTGTGAGTAATCAGCCCCTAATTCCACAGTTTCTGGAGTAGCAAGAGGAGCTTGACCCAATTTACTAAATCTAGATGGGCGGGGAGGGTGTTCTTTGTTAACATTCATCCGTGCAATCGCATCAGTTACTAGCGTGAAGTCTTTCATATTTAATTTTCCCGGTTGCTAAACAAAACATTTAACAAGTAAGTAAATCAAAACAAAAACGAAATCAACACTGAAAATAAATCAAAATAATGACAAAATAATAAATAAATAACTAAACAAAATAAAAACTAATGTGCACAGAAAAACTTTGACAGCGGGCTTTTAGTGATGATGTTAGTTGACTAAACTGTACTAAAAAACTAAAAAGCGTAACACAATACTGTTTCAGCTGATTTTTGATCTATTAATGTGGATAAAAAATGGAAGCTGCATACATCTTTAGAAGTTTTCCAAATGATTCTACAATTAGACATTAGAAGTGTGTGGATGAAAGGTTAACTATCTAGAATTAGTTTTTGAGGGAGGCGAATAAAGTTTAATTCAAAATGTCAACTTACTTTTTGAATGACTTCTTCACCTCTTCCCCCGCCCGATGAGAAGAAGCCAATTATAGATGACAGCTTTCAAAGCAATCTCAATAGATATGGATAGTACATTATTTATAGGATAGTGCACTATACCAAAATAATAGGCTAACAATCTGGGCAGTTCTATCAAAGCTTAACTATTTGGATGATTGTCTCCTCTTTTTCAAGATTATAATCTGACAGTGTGTGTACTGAAAAACTCAGCTTTTGTGCTTTATAATCACATTAAAAATAAAAGACTGACAAAAGATAAGATTCAAACTCTAAGTCGATAATATTAAGACATTAAACGAAGCATTGAGGGGTATTCATGTATTTTACCTTCATTGTATGACTATTGCCTTTAAACCGTGATGACTTCGAAGCATGTCTTCGTCCAGTGGTGAAAGCATGTTGTGAGAAGTTGTTTGTCCATACCCCACCTTCCTGCATCAAACCTGCATCATCAACCCAACCTGCCGAAGAACCAAACAAGTTATCTTGTTCAAATTTTTAGGTAAAATTATACGATGATAATGTAAAAAGGAATACACAAGACCCATAAGAATAAAAAACATAAACAAATTTCAATATCATTTGGATTGATTGTACATTGGAAGAGGGTAATTTTGAAAGATCAGCGCATTTTCATTTTTCTCAGAAGTTCCGACTGATCGAAAAAATCTTATTGCAAAACATCATTCGATTTTTGAACATTTCAGTTGTAATTGGCGCCATTCTCTTAAACTTTAAAGATTCATTTTCCAGACTAGCCATTGGCATCTTCACTACCAGGAAAAAGTACTGACATTCTATTGTTTGAATAGGTGCAGAGGGCCTGATGAAGTCTACATTTGTTTGATGTATACTGTCATTTAGTACTCAAAACTACATTTTATAAATGTAAAAAATATCTGATTGATTGTGAGTCGGATTGTTTCAACTAATTTTTTTTTGGCTGGGGAAAAGATTTGGAACATTTTAAATTAAATTTAAATACAAGAAGAGGAAAAGTAAGAGCTAAACCAGAGTATATTTTCACCTGAGTCATGAGTAGCAAGTGATTCTCTTGAACCACTGACATCCGCTGCATTAGAAAAAAGAGAAGATTAAAATTTGAGAGAGAAAGAAAAAATAAGAGATAAATGCTTCAAACAGCTTAAAATTTTATACATTTTTGGATAAATTTACTTGGCAGGATGAACTCTTTTGATGACGTATCATTATTGGAAGAGGGAATTTCAAAATGATTCCATCCACACACAAAACCACAGGTGCCTAATGAAATGTGATATGCAAAACTGAACAAGATTCGAACGATAGTCTGCTAATGATACAGCATAATGCTGTGTAATGAGGCCTTACCAGTAAAGGCCGTTAGCTGCTTTAAATGAAAGCTAAGACTTCTTCTTCTTCTAAGAGGTTTTTTACCTACTTTGGGTCATTTAACATTTTTCAGCTATCCTGGACGGAGAGAGAGTATTTATGGGACCTTTGAACGTTTTCTAATGACTATGGGTGGAACATTAATAGACACTATACGCCCTTTGCAAGTGAATGTCTAGGTATTGACTGTCCCTCAGATGTGATTGCAATATTATCCTACATAAAACCATTCCAAATAGAAGCTTTTTCTCTCTTTCCAGATTGGAATCTACTCTTCCGACAGGCAATAACTTGAATGGTCAGAATTCAGATCTTATAATAAGAAAGAGCATTTTCGTTTCTTTAGAAAAAAGTCAGCTAGATTAATTTGTGTAAACTAAGACGTACATTTATAGCCTTTTAAACTGATTCATACTCTTTAAAGTCTTTACGGTAACTTTTAGAAGATGAGAGCACATCAATTAAAACTGAAGATGAAGAGCATACGTAAAAATATCAACATTTCTACATCGGCTAATATTTTTTTATTGCATACTACAAACGTGCAAGACAGAGAGAGGCAAAGAAAGAGATTAAAAATGTTTCGAAGTTTAAGAACTTCTTGTGAGAAATAAAAGAAATTCCTGTTGAAAAAGCCACTGAACTAAAAAACTGCATGCTAACCAGTGCATATTGAAGAATGTGTGAAAAAATACAGAATTGTGATAATGTAGCGACAATGTTTCTTTTCAGAAAATGTTGAGAACTTGATGTAGTAGAACCATGTTTGTTGATAGATATTGAGACCTCACATTATTAATCTCGTTCTTATGAAAATATGGTGAGCTGATTAAAAATCTCAGCAAAACAGATTCATATGCATGATCTAGATGATCTGCAGATGAAAAAATTGACCTTGCGGAATTTACACAAGAGGGACTTCAAAAAAACCCATCTTCAGGCACAATTCCTAACCCTTACTTACAAATGTGTTAAAATTCATGATTTCTGAAAAAGTAAAATAACACCCTGTAACACTGAAACAATTACATTTGATCATACAAAAGAGACTTAGTTTTTTTGGGGGGGATTTCTCTCATTTCCTTGAGTACTTGTGTACCTAACACCATGAAATTTGGAAATCAAATACACATTTAACTACGGATTTTGCTTGCCAAGTCAGATTAAAAATTCAAAGCACAAAAAAATAAAAAAAACAATCGAAATGTTGGAACATCAAAAAGCAAGAAGATCGAGAGACTCTGCTATTTCAGAAATCCTCCCAATACACAATATTCTCTTGAGTATGGTTATAAAAAAAGCAGGAGCCAATGGAAACATGATATGATGAGAGAGAGCTCCAATTTCAAGGTAAATCCTCAGCAATTTGGAGAAAAATTCGATGGTTGATCAATCAATTGATCATTTCTTGATTTTGGGAAATTTCTTCTAAAATCTACAAGCATCACATCACACTGTACTCCATTAGGTATTTTTGAACAAGATTTGACAAAAACACTCATTAAAAGAACACCGCAAGCACATACCAAGTGAAAACAAAGATAATCACTAGGAACACACTTTAAAATCTATTTCAAAATTTCTTTCTGTCAAATCTTGGGTACAAATATCTGACGGACTACAGCGTCATGTAATGTGGTGGTTGAAGATTCCTGAAGAAATGCCCTAAAATCCAGAAATTATCAGAGTTGTTCTTAAAAAGGATGGATTTCCACCTTCCATAGTTGAAGAATAATTTTGCTGTGGAAAGAAGAAGAAGAAAAAAAGAATCAGAGAGCTAGAGGCGAACTTCTTTTTGAGTTCCTTCAATTACATATACAATGACTAAACAATAGACTTGTAGAAATTAATAAGTCCACAATGATGGTGCAAATGGAGGTGCATGACGCAAAAAAAATTAGAACTGATTTACGGCGTGAATACAACAATGATAATCATGCCAAAACTTGCAAAACTCAATGGACTTGTTCTGGCAGTCTTTGAACGTGATTGAAGCAGGTGCAAAGTCTAATGCAACCCCTAATGGATCAATTATTATTGACTCAACAGTGCTGCAATAAGAAAAACTCATAGGTGTGTAAAAGCAGAGTAAGCAGGGTGTCTACTAAAATTTCAATTTGGATTTTCATGATATTGTAAATGAAATTTCCTGATTTTTTGCGTGAATAAATTGACACTCATTTGATTTTACAAACCAACATATTGGATTAATTCAATCAAATTTTTCACTTTTGCACGTGCTAAAATACAAGTGGTTGAAAATGCTTGACGCACTCGGAATTTCCTGATACATGACTAATTTTCCTGGTATTATCCTGATAATATCGAGTTCTTTGATATTTTCCGGTTTTTACTGACGTAAACACCCTAACAAGTATGTAAGATTGCCAAAAACTTTTTGATCAACTCTAGAAACTTCTAGTTTGTGCTTGATACATTGGATAAATCTGCAGAAATGTTGCTTTTTTAGGAGGTCTGCTACATCGTAAGGCCAAAAAATATAAATATCATCTCTGTGACGTTCAAAGCCTATCTTGAAGAAAAAATTTGAATGAGCTGCCACAATTGACGTTAAAATCCTTGCGTCTTAGAAAGCGATAATCATCTTGTTTTCTTTATACTGAGGGAAAGTTTTAAATCTCACGGAAACACACGAGAATTGAGAATTTCCATCTGTTTCTTGTTTGTCTAAGATCCCAAGAAAGGAAAAATGTGAATGTAGCAAACTGACAGTGGTTTACTTCACCCCAAAATCATAAATTCAAAGAAGGAAAATTTTTCCTGGACAGTAACAATAACAAGCGATAAAGGATGCAAAAGATCTAACAGGGTGGATGACATATAACAGCTACAGTTTTTAGAAACATTACATGTGATTTCATCCAAGCTGGTGTTAGAGCCCAGATTCAATCCTGAATTGTTGGCGAGATGGCCGAAGTGATCGGGGGGAGCTGGCTCGGGGGGAGTCGTAGGAGGGGGATACACTTGCAACCCTATAACCAACATCAATTCTTACTAAACAAAGTCTAGTTAAACATCAAAAGAGCTCCTTAAATGCGAAAAATGTCATTAACTTTACGTGAACTCAGCACAAAGCTTGAATTTTAGTTGCAGGCTTAGAGAAAGCTCGAAAAGGATGGGGTGAAAGTTCACAACCTGGTTCACATAAATTCTGACTTGGCATCGGAACAAATCTATTTATCAATCATCATTCTTAAGGTTGTTTACTTTCCCTCTGAATTTTTAGTCCGAGTAAGTGAATAGTGCCTAATTAGTAACTAGGAAACTTTTTTAGTTTTGAAAAATTTATACATTATGTATAGATACAAATGTGAGGATATATCATCACTTGATTTTACTGCCATTTCATAACTTCAAGGGTTCTCAGGAACATAGAAATAAGAAGCTTTAACCTAAACCTGTGAGGAAAAAATGTCAGATTGAGACAAACTGTGTGCTTTGTGGAACTTTTTGCACCCTTCAGATATTAAGAAAAACTCTACTTCTTTATGCTCATTTCCCTCAAATTCCGAGATTTTCCGCTTGTTTCCTCGGATTTATGCATTGCAAGAAAGGGTACTTTTTGCACCCTCATAATGTCTTCTCAAATGCATCTGAGCCCGAACAGATAAAGCACATTTTTTCTGAGGATCAGAAACGTTTCCTTGTGTACAGTGTCTCAGCCAAATCATTAACATATAAAATGGGCTATAATCTACTCATTTGACTTACCTATTTAAAGAAAAAATCTGAAGTAAGAAATAAAAATTTTAGAAAGAAAATCACTGGAGGATTGTCAAATAACAGAATATTTGATTGAATTCTTGCACACATCAATAAAAAATGAGTAATTAGTGGATCGGAATAAACCTCTAACGAAAAACTCCTTTCTCTGGATGCGATCTCTCTTGCCGATCAAAACTAACTCTAGGAGCGAAGCAAGTCTGAAACTTAAAAAAGACTTGGTTGCTCTGTAGTTGACTTGAAATTTCCTTTTTTAGGTGATCAATTATATGTACTGACACAAAATTGATCAAAAACTTAAATTGGAAGGATGAAATAAAGTTTGACTCAAAACTACTCACTGAATGTTGATCAAATGCGCAAAAAGCATAAGTGAACTGAATGTTGACGAGGTGGAAAAAATATTTTAAAGTCATGAAAGAATCAAAGATTAAATTTCTTGAAGAGGCCTCACCATCACCAAAGGAAAGGCAAAAAAATTGAAAACTAGAGTACAAAAACCAAAACCAAAAACATGCTGGTAGATAAATGATTAGAGGGAAACTATGTTCTCATGAGGGTAAAAAAAGGGGGAAAAAGGAGTAAAATGAAATAAGTGACCGGTGAGTGATAGACATTTTTAATCTTGATTAAGCGAATCATAATTCCTCTTTTCAATTTGGGAAAATAAAAACCAAAATAAGTATTAGTCTTATAATTCCTTGTCAGGGTTCATTTTTAAAATACTCCTAATTTCACTTTAAAATGTTAACCATAAAAAAATGGAAGGAAGCTTGTGAAAAAAAAAGAGAAATACTGTGCTTACCATGAAGTTTATTGTTTGACTGTAATGTGCTGGTATTGTTTCTGCTGTTCTCTTGTGCAGATGCATACACATCCAGGGGTGAACACGTATCACTATCTTCGCTCCCGCTGATGAGCCGTTCTTGGGAGTATGCTGGCGAGAAGTCATTCCCTTCTTCAAAATAGAGATCACCACAACTCCTAGCGAGAAAAAGGCAATAATAATTTAGCATTGATGACAGTAAATCAATTTTTAGCTGCAGAAAAAAATAATAAAAGTAGAATACCAAATTAACACACTGGGATTAAAAAAGGTAACTTTGGCTAGCCAGGTAGCTTAGGAAAAATTAATTTAAACTTTCTGAAAATCGTGAAAAGGTATATGAAAATTTGTCTGATTCGTTTATGAAACTATTTATTTATATAGCCCTAAAGTAGGAGATTTGTTTGAAAATGGTTAGTTACATAACCACTCACTAATTCCATTTACATACATGTTATTACAGTTATAAAATTAAAATTTATGTCAAATGTATAAAATAATGAAAAATTAACATTTAAAATTTAAAGTAATCTATAAAAAGAACTAATATTGCCAGCTAATTAAAAGCCGGCAGTAGCACTAAAAGAAACAGAAGGTTTGTCATGAGAGAAAATAATAGATGTTACAATTAGTCTCTCGTCATAATATCTGTTAATTTCGGAGTTTATCATCAACCAGATTTTTATTGAGCAACAGAAATTTTTTGTAGAGTAGCAGTTATAAAAATGCACTCAGGTTACAAAAGTGAGCTTATTGATTGGAGTTGCAGTTGCTGTACATAACTGACAAAGTAAAAGACCGAAATGTCTTATTTGATAAGGTTGAAGGGACAATATCTATTGATTTTGTTCAATTGAGTTGGTTGCAATATAATGAGAATGTGATATTTTGGATTTCACGAGTCTACATTTACTTTATAAAATATGTAAATTAAAAAAAAATGAAACATATTTTTGAGATTTGACTCATATTTGACTAAGTGATATCCTTCTCTAACTTCTTAAAGCAATTTTGATTACATGAAGAAACACCATAAGCTTACCCTTGATCAGAGTTCATTTTTAGGCGGTAACTTTCATGTCGAGGAGGTAATGGAGGATTAGAGGGGTCTTCCAAATGGAATGCACGTTCGATTTCTGGCTTCTTATCCCACACCTCTTTGAAGAATGGAGTATAAAATGCCGCTGGAAGAAGGATGAGAAGAGATTAAAAATTCAATCAATTTTCAGAGAATGAACAACTTGACTACACAAACTTATTTTTTCATGGCAGTAGAGAAGTTTCCTTTTGTACTACCAATTTCTCTTTACGAATGATTCAATTCATATGCTAATGAGAATATATGAAACTGCTCACCGACCACTCAAAACTCTAGAGGTACCTTTACATCAAATGTTCATACTTTTCAAGGTCTCTTGTTTTTCTCGAGAATTTTCAACAGCAGCACTTGTTAGTGCCGAGGAAAGCTGACAAGGGAAACTTCTGAATCGTCACCTTCATCAACAATCAAATCTTTGATGTCTTCACAACTTTTAAAAAAGAGTATAAAAATTCTGAAGAATACATGGAAATTCTCACACAGTAAAATACATATTACAGAGTACTTTTTAAGTCACTCGTTCACTATAACTACTATCCACTGATCGTGCTGTAACTTAACTATTAGTTTGTACTCACTTTTTTGTTGGAATGATGATGAGTGTGTCATAAAATGAGCTTGAAGCCGGTCTGCTGTTGCATTTCCTTCTGTGATTAACTGATGCGAAACATCATTGCTGAAAAAAGCACTTGCTCCACCGGAGTCTGTCACAGCCATAATTTGAATAGGCAAATGCGAGATGTTCATAGAGAAAGCACTAGAGAGAGTAAAAAAGACCAATCAGCAGATAAAATAGATGTATCGGTCACTATCTTTTTGGTGCTTGGATTGTATGACAAAAAAATTTGAAACACTGGAAATTTTGGAGGTTTTATTCAGAGGAAATGGCTGATTTTGGATGACATCTGGCTGCTTCCTCTTAGTATGTGCGCATTAAAATCATAGAGTACGTAGAGTTGTAATGTAAGTGGGAGAGCTGGCGCCACTTTTAGGCATTTTTCAAGTTCTGAATTCCGAGACTCCTGTATGACGCCGGGTCACTTATTCGTTACATGATTGATTGATTTTGATACACGGGTACCCGGCCATCAGAAGTAAACAAAGAAGATGGGAATTACTAAGTATTCCACACCGCCATTTTGGATTGAACATGTATCGAAAAAGTGACCGAAGCTCGGCACACACTGGGCTCAGAACTCGTCGAGCAAAACATGGCACCAGCTCTTCCATTTACGTTACGACTCTATGTACTCTATGATTAAAATCTGACGCAGACTATTCAGTACTAATACGTAATGGCAATTTAAACCACACTTTACTGAATGGATTTCCTGTTTGCTTATTTCTTTTGTAAGGTTTGTGCATAGATATTCTTAGTCTTTATATTTTTCTTTCTGATTGTTATACTTATAGTTGCAAATTGGCTTGTGGACTAGGATAATTTTAAAAATAACCTTCGTCATATCCACAAAAATAAAGATTCAGGCTTGTTGCTGGGAAAGGCTTTCAAAATTTTAATGTGAGGTTGGAATAGTAAAGCCAAGTCTTAGTTCAAACTAAAAAATTGAATTTAATTCATCTAAATCAAAAATAATTTTTCTTAAGTAGCTTTGCATAAAGTAATAGGATATTTAGCAGCAATTATTTACTTCCGCTCTTAAAATAAAATTTTGACAATAGGAAAAAAGACAATGATATGGCAAAGCTGAAACTTGAATGGTCACTTGACACTTCAGAATGACTTACTTTAATGTTGCAAGAGAAGCTTTTCGCTTCGCCGAGTAGACTAGAATAAAACCATGGACTAGTTCTTCACGAAACGCATTGGCGCCGTGATATGAAGAAATGATCACCTCAACTTTTCGCTTAGAGGTTCCCAAGAATGTCTCCAGTATTATACTCCTATCACCACTAAGAAAACAACACTGATGATTCAGCAGAGGCCCAACGACATTTTCCAGCGAGTAGGGATCTCCACAGAAAACACACATAATTATCCTGGAGAAAGAGAAAAATTTGAAAATGAGAGGATACAGACAAATTAACATACATCTAATCAATACAGGTAGATAAGTACAGACTTCACAGGTGACAGACCTTGCAGGTGTGGCGTCAGTTGCCCAATCGTAGAGAAAAAAAAGGAGGTGCTTGCATCTTGAGGATTGTGTACCCTGTTACGTAGGTCGGTACAACCTGGTCAGCCAAATCCAGAATTCAAAGTATGAAAAACTGACCATAACGTCTGATTTTTTTGCTTAAATCAACTCATGATGTTATTTCAAACACTTTATGTAGAATGCATTTTTTCCATAAACTACACAATTTCCAAGAAAATCCATGATAAAAGTCGCCGTACCGACCTATGTCATCAAAAAACTTCCAAGATGTCCAAAATGCAAACACCTGTTTTTTTTTTTTTCTCTATGTTGCCCGATTAACCTTTCCAAAGACAGGTGCATGTGGCGTTTGGGTGTTGCAGGGTGTCAAAGTGCACTATGAAAGTGACTTTTATGGATATATAGGCCTTGCAAATATTTAAAGAGTAAAGTATGGAAGAACTAAGGTTCATTTAGTTCTGAGAAATATTTTGTAAGAAAATAGAGACTGTAATATCAATGGCCGCGATTGAGAATTAACTGATATCTACTTGAAACTGTAATTATGATTTGAGATTTAGGCAAAAAGCCTTTAAAATGTCGACTATCATCCCCAGTTGAAAGATTCTGTTAATCACCTGTTACCTGAGATGACTTTTAAGGCATGCTAGCACTCTGCTGAGGTTTCAGCGGTCCTTCAGAAAAAATGAATGTATGATTTTTCTTAGTAATGTAAGAGGAAAAACACTTCTGAGAAAACAAATAAAAATAACTGAGAAAAACACTCACCTAATATCTGGCTCGGAACATTCTACTACTGCATGCTGATAACTGTTCAAAAATCCTGCTCGATGCCTAATACTCTGGATCAACTGCCGCAGAGCACTGGCAACAAGTTGAGGACTTAATCTCCTATTATCTGTCATGGCCTCTAAGGATACATCGATAAACGGACATTGCAAACTGTAAAAGAAGGCAAAAAATTAAGATTCATTGGATTTAATGTCACTCAGTTAGCAATCCTATTCAATATTTTACCCAAAGTTTGGCCTTCTGTGAGATTAGTCAACGGATCACATAAAAAAAAATACAATAATGATAGGAATTGATGACACAAGTGCTTCTCTTAAGGATATATATTAACATAAAAGATTCTGGACAATGACAATTCTTAGTCCATCTTCTGGGGTTGCTGAAAAATGTAGAGAATGAAATTCCCTGTCACTTTAAGATGTGTCAGTTGGTTATAGAAACATCATTTGAAATAGTTTTCAGGCAAAATGTGCTGTTCAAAACGTCAAACCCATTCTAGAACTTGAATAAAAGTGACTGAAAAATTTGTCCATGACATTTACAGGTTGTCCCTAACTTTTTAACATTCCCTGACATTTCTCAGTTGCCCCTGGCTGTGGCAACCCTGAATTCTTTGCAGCATTTCCAAGTAATTACAAACTTATACCCTCAGCAGCCTGATTGTAGAAATGTACGCTGGTATGACAAGAATCAAAAATCAATATATTACAGAGTGCAGATAGGGCTATGTCTTGTCTTACCTTGTCAACAAAGCCGGTTAAAGTTTCAACTATCAGGCTGTTGATGCTTGCTGCCTGATTCATGAACAATACGTGCGAACAAAAAAAAAGAGAAAAAACAATTGTAGACAGTTCCTTACCTATCAGCTAGACTTTGACCTTCTTCCCTCAGTCGAAGAATTTCAGCATCCTCTACTTGATTTGTTGTACCAACAAACAATATGACTAATGGTAATCCTTGGAATGGAAGACGGTCATTCTGCTCCAAGTTTGAGAGCAGAGTTATCTCTAGGCTACGTCTGATGTACTCGAAGCTTTCTGAATCTGAGTAGACGCAGAAACACCCATGCGGCATGAAATTTGATGACTGGAATGAGTTGTCAGGCAGACTCACGTCTCCGTCGATTATTCTATGGTCTAGAGTGTACAGCTGACAGTCAATTTCACATTCATCGTCTTCGCATAAATTCCGAATTTCTGCAGAGAGCTCGTGTGCCAAACCATGGATTCCCAGCATCACTAGATTCACTTGGTTGTTGTCTGAATTCAGAACCCACTGAGTGTTGTGATTCCAAGAGGAAGGTCTACAAATTTTAAGAACACAAAGGAGAGATTAGCAGAGGTACAAATGACTCAAACAGATTGTGCACATTCAGCTTTCATTTACATTAAAACTAGACAGGGAATAAAAGTCATGTTATGATCTTTATATTGTAATCTGTAAATAAAGCTTGCTGTTTTTATTTGACATTTGCCTAACTTTTTGTAATTAAGAATGAGCAGTATAACTACTGCTCATTCTTAATTACAAAAAGTTACGCATCCTAATCATAAATTGTAACATCAACACAGTATCCACAAAGTACATATCCCTTTCTTTAGATAAAATAGGAATCACTAGAGTTTGAAAAAAGAAATCAAAACTTCCCGTTTTTTTTTTTTTTTTTTTTTTTAAATTTCAGCAATTCTGATTTTATTTAAATTTGTACTTGCCTTGTTTTTTAGCCTTGTTTTATGATCATTCTATCCCATTGCTTGCTGGTTCTCAGGTGACTTTATTGAGTCCCAGATAAATAAAGGCAATTTGTATCACAAAAATTTCACAAAAAATTTTAATCCAAAGCAAAAAAAAGTACTATTTTGATGGAACTCCCTGAAATTCATTGAGTAAAAGAAATTAAAAAACAAACTCCAAAGTCATAGCAGACTTACCTGTGCGCTTTATTGCCTAAAATTCGTTCGATGAGAGCGTCCATACAATTGGGGAATGCTGGACAATGTTCTTTGATGGGGCAATGAACAAATCCAAGATGCTGATACAACATTAAAGTCCTGTCCTGATCTAGTCTATCTAATGCTTTATACCTATTAAAAATCAAACAGAAACCACAAATATACATATCATACAATTAAATTAAAATAAAAGGAAACAAAACAGAGCAGAAAAATCATGATCTTGCATAATTCAAAGATATTTTGCAGATTGGACTGAGTGTATTCAAATATGATGTCAAATGGTTCTTAAACAACAACTTGCAAGTCTATTATGTACAATGCTTTCTGAATATTGAGTAAATATAATTCATACTTCATGATAGCAGGATGAAAGAGCAGTTGAAAAACCGACAGAGTTAAGCTAAAGAGTCACATCTACATTGTCTTTCAAACTCACATCTCCCATTTTACTTTTCTAGAACGAAACAAATAGACATTCCTACTCGAAAATTATTGTGATTTATTTTGTCCATTGGGAAGTTATTTTTACGAAATTTTAAGCAAAAATAATGGTGGGTTTTCTTCCAAAAAATAAAAATAAGTGATGAGATAAGTAAACACTGCAATATAGATGTGACTATATTGCTTAACTCTATCAAAACGGTTGTAAGTCTGATGAAATTCAGGTGGACAAAATTGAGTCTGACATTAATGAATCTATGTATAGCTTCAAAAATTTTATTTTTCATGACTAGGGCTTAGTTTTCATAGAACTTAACAACTTGCATGATTGGGCTTACAATTAGTTTGAAACATGCTGGAAATATACATAAAGGATCGAAAGATTTTTTTTTTTTGGAAACACGGATTAAATTTTGAAAAATGGCTGACCATGTAATTTAAATTACTATCCGTATTAAAGAATTGGAAGCATTAAAAAACTGGACAAAATTAGTTTACCTCGAGTCTTCTTTTAGGGAATCTGTCAACTCCTTGACATATTCTTGCATCCTGGCACCTGATGGAGCTATACTTTTAACATGATGAAATAAATCAGCGTGCTCTAGTAGTAATTCCTGAAACAAGGGATTAGAAAATGAGTTCTGATCGTCTATTTTTTGACAGAGAGATGTTCATTATTTTTTTCTTTCTTTCTTTTTCAAGTTTACTTGATGTCATTCCAGATGGATAAGTACATTTAAAATTATAAGCACAGAAGTTGAAGAAAAAGAACAAAAATACACCATAAGTGTGTTAATATTTTGCTCTTCAATTGCTTTTGAATGATTTTCATTTGCAACCTACTTTTCTTCTTTCTTTTTCCTTTCTTCTTGTACTGGAGATTTCTGGTCTGCTGATTTGGAAAGGGAAATCAGTTACATAGACTAATTACAAGAGTAAATTTTTGTAGATTCAGTTCAATTACAATAGAACTAGATGTACACAGACTTCTTTGCCTATCACACAGAGATCCATTTTAATGATTCTTCTTCATCTGTGATACAATTTTTAACTATTTGGTGCAATGAAAGTAGAGACATGTACCTTGGTAAAGAGGAATATGAAATTCTTAACCATTTCAATGACTTGTTATTTTCATAGTTCTACTGGAGATGATTATAACTGAGGTTCAAGAAAAGAAAAATTCAAGCAATTGGGAGAATTTTCAACTAACCTGGAAATTATGTTTGGCTTTCTCTATTATTTCTTTTTGATGTTTATCATAAATGTACTGAATTTCTTCTTCCGTCAAAGCATGGTAACACTCTTGACCCATTAACAACACCCGTACATCTGATATTGGTTTCCCTGGCGTAACATAACCAGTATCTTCTAACAACTCTTTGAATTGTTTTTTCCATCTAGAGAGAGAGCAACACAATAAATAAATTAGAAACAATACAGAATTATAATACAAGGATGGATGGAAAATAAAATAAAAATAGCACGGTAGGGAAGATAAAAGTAGTACTTCCAAATTAAATATGGATAGGTGTAAGGATGCGAGAAAGAGTCTGGTTTTATTTAAACTGAAGAATTGGCCACGATGGTCCTGGGGAACTGACTACTGCTATCAAGTACTCGACAATTGAACTCCTCCTCTAATTTACAAAGCAAGTCTCCATAATTCTAAAAGATCCAGATATTGTCTGATACACAAAGTCGTATACTGATGGTAGTGGCGTAAAAAGATACCAGATGCAATAACCAGCGAACAATTTGATTTGGAAACTTGTTTTGGGACAGAAAGTCAAAGAAGATACTTCTATAACCCCGATGTAATGTCCCAATAGACAGTGCCAGGGGTAGCAATAATATTAGATCTAAAATTGAGTTAAACTAATCATAAGATTTGTAAATGGCCTATGAATAATTTTCAAGTGAAAGTAAAAATTAAAGTAATTAAAATATTTGAATTGTAAGGTATAAGATGGAGTCACATCTGCTTGGATGTGGCTTCAACAAATAGTTTCAATGTGAATAGATTCTTCTCATCTTCTTTCAGGTGGAACTGCAATCTTCCCCATTCCAAATTTTAGGGTACAAAATAAACTTGCTACAAAAAAAAAAAAAAAAAAAAAAAAAAAAAAAAAAAAAAAAAAAAAAAAAAATCTACAAAAAAAACTGTGACCCTATGATTTCACTGCTTTCTCAAGAGCACACAAAATAAAATGTTCAAAGACTCTGTGAGCGATTCTTTCTGGGTCAGTGTCATGCAGTTTCTTTTGAAGGGTTGTGATGAGCTAGAGCTCAAGAGTGATTTACAGATTACTGTAATTGCATGCGACTAAGCTAATTCCTACTTCCAACAATGCAAACCATGTTGAATACAAATTTAAAAATTGCTGAGAAAATTGTGAAATTTTCACAACTGGACGCATTCATGTGAAAGAAGAACCCATTACAGATAAACTTATTTTGTATGAATAGTGTGATTTTGCAAATCAATCAAATTTTACAGAGAAGTTACCAAGATAATTACCGAAGTGGCCATGACTTGTAAAGAATTATATACTTGAAAAAAATAAAATAAAAATATTTAAAAAAATATCAAGCAAGCTAAAATCTTAAAAATTACAAATTACCTTTTTGGAAGTCTGCCGCATTAAAAAAAAATAAAGAAATAAATGAATAAATGCATTGAAAAATTCGAATAAAAAATAGTTTTCTGAGCAATGTACAAGAAAGCAGCATTATACAATTTTTAGAGAAAAAAAAAACTATTTTTCAGTTACGAGGAAAATATGGTTCTTTAAACGATACCTATTTAAATTGATAGCAACACAAAGCATAATAAAACAACAAAAAATGTTGCTACCTACATTTTAAAGAACAAGATTTGTGAAAACTTTATTTTTTTAACTTATATATTTGAAGGATAACTTTTTCAGACATATTCAAGATAGATGGAAGTGTGTAGATTTGTCACACTTACTTTCATTCTTAAAATCTCGAAATAAAGAATCTAACAGAAACATGTGGGCACATAGGCTTTGATACACTGCGCTTTGACACAAGTTCATTGCCAAGTCAGCCTCACTAAAAGGTGGGTAGGTGTGGCACTTACAATCGGTTTGTTCTAAAGCACTTGATTTCTACAATGCACCATCTACAGGCTAGCCTCTTGGGTTACTCTCTCTCTCTCTCTCTCTCTCTCTCTCTCTGAATATGTGAGCCACTGCTCCTTGTAGTCAGGACATTGTCTCTTGTGTCCCTGTTTTTTTTTTTTGGTGGGTTGCTTTGAATGCAAGCCAGTTGACATGTAAAGAAAAATTTTGGAAAATTTGGACCCCCTAGAACTAAAAAAAAACCTTCCCTTTCAAGAAGTTTATGGTGCACTCTTTTAAAGATGCCTCGTTCGGTCTCCTGGATTTGCACTGATAAGCGTTGATTGGGGACTGAAGAGCGCTTTGAAGACAATTTTTTTGAGCTATTGGCTGCTGGGCCCATAAGCCCACCACAGCGTCCTCAGCACCATTCACTGGCATGTGACGAAAAATGTTAATAGTAATACCTGAGTTTAAAGACCAACAGGTGGGTTCTTAAAGTGAAAAATTTCACATTCCATTGAAATGAGAATGATCGAGATCGACAACAAATATTGTATGAATTATCACTTACTCTAATCGTTTCTGCTCTTGTTGAAGTGCGCTAGCATGGTTTTTGAAGACGGTTTCTGCTTCACCAGTTTCAAGGACATCATAGGGTATCCTTCGCTCTTCCTGACCCTCATCATCTTCTAGATCACACTCTGTCCAGGGCATATCATCAGGGGGGTTGTAAAAATAATGACCAAAGTCAGGATGTTCCTTGATATGCTGCTGCACGGACGGCCAATCCCTGGAAGAATAAAACCAAACTTGAGTTAGGAGCACTCATAAAATACAAAAATACTTTAGCAGCTTTGAGTTTTGAGACGCTTCTGTTGTTGCGAAACAATCTAAGTGTTTTCCATTGATGGTAAATATAAGAGAACTTAGGGGGAATTATTTGGGGTGTTAAACAAGAAGTTTCAAAGCAAAAGCACTGAGGGGCATACCTTTTGCTATGATTCAATTCATAATTGCAGGAGTTGAAATATTTTCAATTCATCTCACAAGAGAGCATTAAAACTATAACTTTTCTTCCACTGTTAATTCAAGCCTCCTAACCGACAACAAATCAAAGTCTACTTAAGAGTAACTGAGCACCAAACTAGTTTTGATGCGTTTTTTAAGTGAAGAATTTTAAATCCTGTGTGCATAATTTTTCTTAAAAAGTTGAAAGGTTCTAATTTTTTGTTCAATTTAACACTAATTTGCCGAATGTATGAAGTATTATTAATAGTCAATTTTTTCTACAATGATTTTGGGTTTTCTTTTGCGAGCTGGAAGTTTGAACTGTCCTATTTATATATAAACCATGCAAGCCATTTTCTTGTGCTTATCAGTCGATTAAGATACTTTCAATATGTTTGACAAATAAAATTTTAATCCAAAGAAGAAAAAAATGAAAAGAGGGGATTTAATTCTTATCCTATCTGGACGTTGAGTTAACCGGCAACGTTCAACTGACAGACAGTAAATCAACTGAATACATTCTCACTGTCTACCTTTATTTGTCAAAAAATATGGCAACAGTACAACTCTGATAAATAACTCTGGATAATTTTCAATCCTTCATATTTGTTGATCAACTTTTAAGAGGAAAATCTACTGAACGTGCAAGACCAAATATTGTTATCAGCACTCAGTTTAAATATACTGGAGAAAAAGGTACACTAACGTTTCATCAGAGTAAGACTAGGGGCAATTTTGAATTCTAATGAACACTTTTAGAAAATATTGGACCTATTAAGGACAAATTTATGAGCCTGATACTTACACATCTCTAAAAGAGGAAATTTCAGGTACAAGTTCTTGCAAAATATCTGGGAGCATTTCCAAGTAACCTTGAACTCGCTTTGCTAGATATTCATCTTTCAGCTTCTTTAGATGTCGCCTGAACACACTTTGAGCACTACCAACACCAAACAAATCAAGGTACCTGATGTAGATCTCATGCTTGGCAAGTTTCTTTGCCGTTGTACTCCAAAGAGATCGATAATCAGTGATCTAGAATCAAAAGAGTAAGGAAATCAATATCCTTTCAGCCCAATTAGCAAAATTATATCGTAAATATGAATCAAACATAATCTGTTGCCAGAGTAAAAATATATCTATAACTAAAAACCAGAGAACTGTGACTAAATTTTTATAGATTCGAGAGATCAGAGTTCCTACGGCACATTATGCAAAATTAAAAACTCTTCATCATGGACCTAGTGTTAGATATCATTACCAATTTTTTCACACACATGGATCCCTCTCTAAGTATGTCAAAAATGCAAATAACTTAATATTTCCAAAAATATGAGCTATGTTTTTTGACCTCTGAGAAAAAATTAATTTAAGGATAAACAAACCAAAATACACTATTTTACTTTGTTCATAACATAATTCACGTAATTCATTCTTTCTAGGAAAGAGCATGTAAACGCTCTTCTCTTTGCAAGAACATGGTACACAAATGGACACAATAAAAATAAAATACAATAATTAAAAACACAAGGGTACCTGCGAACGAATTAAAGCTGCAAATGCATCCGCCGTCAAATCCAATTGCTCTTTCCGTGATCTTGCTGCTTCATGATACGGCAAAATTTTGCTGCGACCTTTGATACGATCCACAAGTTGTGCTAGAGCAATGAACGCCATGTCTACATTGATATTTTCATGGGCAGATGTTTCGACCATTGGTATGGCTCCTTTGTACTCTTTTCTATTGACTAACCTCTCTGCTTCTTTGACAAATAGTTCATTGGCATCATCATTCTTAGTTGTAACTAAAACAATTGGTTTTTTTGTTTTTATTAGATTATTCAATATTCCAGCACTGAATTCTACTTGCTTTTCGATACTCCGGCTGGGTACTTCACTAACATCAAATAAACAAAGAAATCCATCTATACTTATTCTACCGTCTGGTAGAACTTTCTGTTCATATTCTTTTTCAATACCTGCAAGCAGAGAAAAGAAGAGATGATAAAAATAAAATTTTAAAGTTGATTGATAGAAAACTCATAATTTTTAACTACCGCAGAAATAAGTAATAGTAGTATTAAATGGAGAACAGTATGAAAATACTCTCAGGTAATTTAGCAAAAAATTTAGATTTTACAAAAAAGTGACAAAGTAGTGGATCTTACGGAGAGTATTAAAAAAAAAACCTAAAGAGTTAAAAATACACAATATAGTGAATGATCGGACTATTTGGATTGCTGATACTATTTTTCACAAATACAAAATATTATTTTCCAATGGTAATCAAAGCAAAAATATCACTAAGTCCTCGATCTTACAACAATCTGAACTTACCTAATTGATTTTTACAAATGTACATGAGTTTCTCTGCTGATGTCAACTTAACTGCCGCACATCGTTTAATATAAGGCTCCATTTTGCCACCTAAAATTAGGGAAAACATTAGAATATTAAAGTTCAATACATACAAATGACGAAAATAAATGTTCAGTGTTTAAATAAAGAAAAAAAAAAATCTTTCTAATATGTTATCAAACGAAAGGAAATTTCAATGGGGCACCAAAATTCCTACAAAGCATGCTTGTGAAGTGTCAGTATTGCAAAAGCATCAACACTTGTATGATGGTTTAGCTTATGAATTTGCAAAAAATTGATAAGATCTATCCTGGTGCCAAGTTTCTACATCCAAAATTAAAAGATTCTGTCCAGTAAAAATCAAAATATACCTATGACATCATCCACCACAGTAGGGCATATCATGATTTCTTCTCCTATGTTGGTTTCATTCATGTTTCAGTTCAATCAAAGTAAATGTGTGAATCACCGATTGATGAAGCTAAAGTGGAAAAATTAATGGTGTGCTCTATTGGCGGAGGATGAAGTCATACGTTGTTTTTCAATGAGGAATATTTCCACTAGTATTGGACATGGAAACTTAACATTTCAACAAATCTTATTATTTTTTGCTCACCTAAGGGCGTAAACTATTGAAATACAGTTCTGAGACTGGTGTAACTGGCCCATTGGTGTAGTTTTAATAGGTATAGTTTAATAATAGTAAGGAGTATTATATTAATAATTCCTTTCTTCAGCTCCCACAAAAAGTTGTCCGATTTTCAGTGATAGATAGAGGAACCACCGCCATGAATCTTGCATTGTTTCAATGTAAAATGAAAATGCTAATTTTTTTGTCACGCTCATAAAGTTAGGCGGCTAATTTGGTAGGATTTCTAGTGGAAATTTTGTAAATATGATTTAAATATACCTTTAAATGGCTGAAAGGATGCGTCATCGATAAATTCAGTTTGCTCGATGACTTGAAACTGAATTTCTGCACCTTCCTCTGTTGCTTTGGATACTTCACCCCAATACAGGAAATGGTCGTTATTAACGACTCTTCCGCTGAAGTCAGACTGAAAAAGCAAGGAGAGAAATTTAAAAAATTGCACGTAGAAAAATACGTCTATATTATTCATCTGAATGGAGGTTACATTTAATTTCACAGGTCTAATTTACACAGGGGAAAATAAAGGGTTCAAAAATTAGACAAGCTCCAGAGGGGGGGGGGG